CAGATTTAACTTTATGTTTATTACAAATAGTACAATTATAATTGTAAATGAACCCACCTTCTCAAATGGAAACACTGAATCAATTTTTGGTTTGATTTTTCCCGCTCTAAACATCTCTAAAAGAGCTGTAATTCCTTCTTTGATCAGATCTTTTTCCTCCTGTAACATTCCAAGATGAAATCCACAGACGGATTTGTTGGCTTTTATCAAGGTCATACCATGGAATGATGGCATTTGGAACCAATTTTTTGCCAAGTTCCAAATTTTGCGATGTTCACCGATAACAAAGTTTGCCCCACCTGAAAGAAAGCTACTTATTGATGAGTTGGCAATAATAACTTGAACAAAATTAGAAACACATCATTAAAAATTGGAGTATAGGTATAACCAATGTGTCATTTTTATCTAGTAAAAAAGTTTTATTTCTGGACCGAAATTTCAAGGTGCACTTTTATTTACAATTAATTATCTGTATCTTAATGTCACATCATAAAATAAACCTGCATGACTTTTCAATAAATTCTTAAGAGATTTTTTTCAAGACATAGATGATATGAAATATAAATTACAAAAATGTACATGTACATCCATGTCTTCCAAATAAACACATAAAGGAAATGTATTCAAAAGGCGGCAGTCGTCGTGCCGCGTCCTGTTCGATATGGGACTCATAACGACGTTTACAATGCTTGTAAAATACATTGTTTATTTACATGAAATTTGAACACGCTCTGCGCGACGACCACCACCCTTTAAGCTTTGCCTGTATAAGAAATTCAGATTTGTGAGGCGAGTTATATTTTAAGACAGATTTTGCTGCAAAGAAGATCTTTAGCAAGGTTGACCATTATTTGCGATTCATGTGTAGAAATTATGTACCGAATATTATATAAGCTAAGTAACTTGACTCATAGAATGTAAAATACTTTATTTTGGCTGGATTTACTTTTACTTTTTCACTGATTTGTGACAAGTTGAATGTAAATTAAGGGAAATAGGGCATATTCACTGTATTTTATTTTCACTGAATCATCCGTTAGGCGAAAATAAGTTCCAAGCGAAAATAAAGTATTTTGCAGTAATACGCCGAAATAATTTTAGCATGGTAGCTCATACTATATTGTTTTTTCTAAATTTGCAGCTAGTTAAGTCACTTTGAAACAACCAAGGATGCTTTTCATTAAACTGTATTTTTATGACCTATAGTGTTTATCTATTGGATTCGTTCTCCACTATGAGCATGTTGCATAATATGCATGACGACAGTGGCACTAGACGTACAAGCTAACTTCTATACACCATCTTTCATTTCATGCATAAAAATGTTTGCGATATTGCACTAAATGTTGGCAGTAAATACCGTAATATGGCATCTAAAAGGCTAAGTGTCTAAAATCTGTATATTTCCGTTCCCATGGGACAAAAAAAACATGTAATATATAAAAAAAACTTGATATGTTACACATTAACAGAAAAGTCTGCATTACACAATTAAGAGATTAAAAACGATGACAACTCATTATTGCGTGATAACGGGGCAAGGACGGGGATCAATATGTGCAATAATGTTTAAGACACAGTCACGCTCATTTTTTGGACAAACATCTCTGCCCGAGCCCTGTTGTCATGCAATAATGAGCATTGAGGAGTCTTTTTTTTGTTTCAATTATACCGGTAATACCCTGAAATTTTGATAAATTTTACACGCAGTGGTATCTTGAGAGAAACGAAAGCAGACAGCATGCAAAAACACAGGGATAGGTATTTTTTTAGATGAAAATAACTGATTTTTTACCATGGAAAAATCATGGAGGGTTTATTGTTTAAAATTTTCATACATGTTTGAGGAAACATTGGTCATGGCTGAGTCATGCACTCTAGTTTGAACGTTCGTACATTGACCTCGATTACTGACATTTTATTGTCTGATGTCAAAGCCGCACACGATACTGACAGAGTGATGGCAACACAACATTTCAATAATGAGGAACGAGTGATCCACCTATCAGTGTTAAGTTATTACGCGTACTGAGGTATACGTGCAGTACGGTATGTAATTATTAAATCAATCATTAAAATACATGTACTGACCATAGTCAGTCAACTCTGTCATTGCAGAAGTGGATATGCTACTATACTATCAACAAAATATATTAAATATATCTTAAAATACTGTAAAATACTTTATTTTAGCTGGAATTAATTTTTGCTGAAAAGAGTTTTTTGGTATTTTCACTGATTTTAAAATTAATTCCAAGCGAAAATAAAGTATTTTACAGTAAGCTACATTGTAGATAAAACATTATATCTGTATTCCTGTATTTTAATTTTGTAATAAATATTTTTAATTTATTTAAGTATTTTCAATTTATTTAAACGTAAAAACTTTTTCACACCTTTGATGTAAAGTTCACATGGCATATTGGATGTCTTGCCGATGGTCACCCAGATATAGAGTCAAAGTACTCCAACAACACACTAGACGTTAGTAACTATATTTCAAATTCTCAAATTCTGAAAATGACTACTAATTTTGGAGCGAACAGACAAAACTTGAGTCAATTTTCATTTTTTAATCAAAAAAGTTTAGCTAATATTATCCCAATCCCCTGAGAGGAAATGCAGATTATAAATATAAATATTTTGTTAATTTGTGATGAAAATAGGGAACAGGTGGTGAAAAGTTAAGACTATCAATACAAATGGTGATGACTAATACACATTACATTTCCATTCCATTGTATAACTCTAATGTTGCTTGGTTTTAATGATTGTTTGAAATATGTGCAAGTATTTAAAAAAAATGATTTGTGTGGAGTAGAAGGCATTAAGGGAAATAATATTTTATTCATTTCCTGTTTTTAAGTTGTTGGTATTCCTGACATGTACCGGTAACGACAAAAATAGGCCAGTCAAATTATGGTACCGGTAATGTTGTCTAAGCCCAAAATAAACTGCAACAGAAGCTATTTCCACTGTTTTGTAATAGTAAAACACAAGTTAGTACCCGGTACCGTATATGTATATTAGGCTATGTTTTTCTTAATGAAATTTATGAAATTCAACCAAAAAATATACCCCACGTCCCAACAATCTTGCTTTTTAGGTACACTATGATGTCTTGTATTTTGTTAATTGATATTCCAGTGTATTTTTAACCTGCTAAAAATATCATTTGAAATTAATGTAAATTTTAATTCTGAACTAAAATAAAGATTACTAATATACATCTATAACTGTAACCTTAATTTTGCAGTATTGCACTGGGTATTTTCATCCTGCCATATTAGGAAACGCTAATACATGTACCAAAAATGGAACGATTATGTGCGCAAGCATCCTCTAATAATAAAAAACAAACATGGCTGCCCCCAGGGTTTTTACTAAAATCACACGAAGAAGTTCACTAAATCTAAACGTTTTAGATATCGGCATTTCCATGATGTATTCCTGGGAGAAAAAGATGTATAATAATAAGGTTATTACGAAAATACTGCAAAGTACCAGTATGCACTCAGACAGTGCATGTCAGTTGATACTCCCACTGTACTGTCTTCGTGCATACTTTGCAGTATCCTCATAATAACCTCATAGTAGTACATTTTGTGATATACTGTCATGCTGGTTTTGAAAGTTGTTATTTATACTTAATCATCAACTCCTATTCACACTACTCTAAATTATTATTTATAGCACAAAAGAAAGGTATTTTCATGTTTATTGATAATTCAATATATTTTCCCATTGATGGCCACTATTCAGTAATTTGTAGAAGAGGCCATTTCTTTAAACTGTATGAAATGCTTTTTGAAAGTCAATAAATACAGTTTATCATTCAACTTGTATTTGGTGACAATAGTTTTCCAAATAAAAAAATTGGTCTGCAGTATGATGATCTTAATGAAAACCTGCCAGGCTATTATGTAAAACATTATTGGTTCCAATAAAGTGACTAAGTCTATTATTTATACTAAAAAAACTTTTCCAACATAACTAGAAACTATTATTCCTCTGATCTGATCTGACACCTTTTATAAAAATGTGAGAAATGATAAATATACATGTGTCTGGGTAAGTTCAAAATTAGAATAGTTTTTTAGTGGATTTTTAGAAAATCATAAATTTACTTAATCATTTCTGAGCAGAATCCATCATAATCTGATGCTTTTTTATTCTTAATTTGTTTAATTGCAATTTTGCTATTTTTCTCATTTAATGGATTCCAGATCATTGATTTTTGAGACTAAACTACTGTGGAAATCATTATCTTCATCTTTATTTATTTAGTTCAACTTTAGTTTGCATTGGTTTATGTTGCGTATTACTGTAAAATCTGTATTATAAGCGGCGGCTTCTATTAAAATGGTACAAAGCAACAGAAATGCGGCTTCTATTAAATTTTTGGCTCTCAATTGTTCAAAAAGAATGAATGCGGCTTCTATTAGGGATGCGGCTTCTAATACAGATTTTACAGTACTAGTTTTAGAAACTTTTAATTCATTAACGATTTTCCAGAAGTGCATGCATTGGATCAGTTGTTTTCAAAATTTAAAATATATTTACAATCATATTTTCTGCTTTATATTTCTTTTTCTCAAATGGATATTCACTAATTAATTAGACTTATATAACAAGTGACCATCATTTTGGTTTGTTCAAATAAACCTGTCTATAAAAGACAAAATGACGGGAAATGATTACATGCATCTTTTACACTAATCTCTACACTGGCATTTTCAATTTAATCAAATCAAAAAAGCTTTCTTCATCTTCAAATATCAGTTGAAAAATTTTCCCCTTAATTTGAGAAATTATTGTTTTCACAACTGATAAATGGGAGTCTAATGTTTATATTAGACAATATTTATTGACACAACTATTTGCATATTCATGAGCGTCTTTATGTTGCTACGTCATCAGTTTTTTCAAGCTGTACACGTGCTTGATAAATAGCCATTTGGTAGTCACTTTTTGTTTGACTGTAGCTAGTGTAGCATTGTGATAGTAGTTGCTGGTAGATCTCATTGACACATTCGCTGATAGCACCTAAAGTAATAATTGCAGATAAATATATTGGCCAGGAAAATATATTTGTTTCTGGTCGCTGCATTTGTAAATATTATGAAAATAAAAAACAAAAAATGGCCGTCATGACACCATTTTATTGAAGATTGCAGGACCAGAATAAATATTTTTGTTAAACAACATCTGATAAGAAATATTCCTCATCAATCAATTTTCCACAGTTTGTAGTTTTTTGTAGTTGGTGCTGTCATCATTGTTCCTTTGTCAAACAGAGTAAACATTTGAGTTTTCTGATACTGTTCAACTGTAGATTTTGTTATCATTAGTTTGACGATTCAAAACAACATGACTGAGTTTATAAGTTAATAATTACATAATATTCCTCTTTATGAGTAAACTGCCGGGTCAACGCACTTCAGTGACATAAGCAAATATATACACAGTACAAGAAAACACTTGCACACAAACACACAATTCATTTCTATAGACATTTTAGGTATTGGTTTCCCAGGAAACGTATTGTTCCTAAACGATTTTAAAATCTTGAAAAACACTTGCTCAAAGTCAATACAGAACCATGTCAATATGGAGAAAGCAATTCACCCCTGCATAGTGCAGACTGTTAGGACAACAGACAACATGCAAAGGCATGTCAATATTAGTTGTTAATTATTTAATACAGTGTGCTATTGAGTATTATGTAAATAACCCCTCCTGTTATTCTTATTTCATATTTAATTGGAAGATGCTGACACACCCTTGGTGTTTATAATTGAAGAAACGAGTTCCTTTTGTGCACCCCCCCCCCACCCCTAACTATATTGCCCACATCCAGTTTGTATTTGGTTACACCTATGCCCCCTCCGGATAACTGTAAGTGTCCTTAGGAAGGACATATATGGTACAATTTAATTGTGAAGCACTTTAGGGTAGGGTTAGGATTAGGATTAGGGGTGGAGGATACAAAAGATCTCTTTTCAATAACTTATTCAGTACAAAATAAAAAAAAATTCAATAAGATTTAGGATGTATACAGAGAATTTCATGGAAGCATGAATTTTTTTTATAAAAATTTATGAAATATTTTACCTTTGAAGACTCTCACAATTCATTAAATCCAAAAAATGCTAAATAAATAATGCTCATTACCCATGAGCCTTTGCAGGTTTCCTTCAGTCATACCGTTGGTTGATTTATTGCCAAGAATCAGTTAACAGGTCAGGCTGTTTCCACCATCATTTGAAATATTTATGCCTTTATGAAATTCACTGTAGAATTCAGTTAATTCCAAAACTTTTTTTCTCTACAGGATGAATTGAACAAATAATATTGCACACAATGCATGAACCTTAACTTCAGTTACCATGGTGACAAAAAATGAGCAGTATACTTACCAAAAACAATTATTTTACCCATTGGCTTTAACAATTCGTATCCCTTCTTTGTGTCTTTGCCTCCCAATGGATCCAACACGATATCCACACCTACAATTGTACATTGGATATAAAAATAAAGAAATAATAAATGCATGGTCATATTCTAGGAATCTGATTTGGTTACTATGGTTACTGTGATGTTATCTTGAAATCAATTGCTCAAGAGAAAAGTTATATATACATGTAGCTACCGGCATTGTATAGATCTTAAGAATTTGTCAAATCTGTCATGTTTCCTAAAAGACAATACCTATCGTACATTATCATCTGCTGGCACTGTAAACCATTATTTGTTATTAATATCAATTTTTGCAATATTACAAATAACATGGTTACGGTACATTATGTCAGGGAACAGTGGACGCTAAGATGGGGGAAAATCCAACAATATTTGTGGGGTGAAAACGAGTATTGTTGCAGTCTTGCTCTCAAAAAATGGCAAAATTTTACGAAAGCCACTGCAACTAACTGCTTCTCTGGTAAATGTTTACTACTACGAAATTGGGAGAGTTCTCAAATTAACTAAAATTAAATTTATTTATTTATTTATTGCTCAACTGCTGGCCTGGAACTGAGTCTAAATACTCAAGAGATGTTCCATACAATGTATCAATATCATTATGCAAATAACTAAACTAAAATGTCATAGCCTCAAATCATTACACCAGTAAATATTTTCCTTTATGCAGTATGTCTTGGTACTCGGCATATGAATCAACCTCCATGCTTACTTTACAACTATTCATTTTCACTGGCATTTAATTACATTATTTATTAATGCTTTGAGCGATTTCACAGGGTTTTAAGTTCATAAACTTGGCAGGAAAACAACAAGCTTTATTGTTATTTTACAAGTTCATGTGAATTTAATGTAGCGTATTTACGTATTGGCGAAAATAGCGAAATTAAAATCCAGCGAATAATTAATGTGTTATTTGTAACCATCAAATAACCATGATTAAACAGATTTGTCACATGGCTGTCGCAAATTGCAAAAGTTTCAGCCAATCAAATTGCTGTACTGAATATTGGTATGCATGAATTCATTTGAGGTCAATTTGTCACAGTCAAAGATAACCGCATAAATTCTAGAATGCTCATTGGGCAATTCAGCACAGCCGAAATACAAAATACTAATTTTTTGATATTTTCTGAAAATTATGACTTAGCAAGATGCTGACCTTTTGGGGCTATTCTGAGTACTTCTTGTTTGTAGTCTTTTGTTCTATAGTCTATCGGATGTGTGATTCCATTTGCTTTGATGGCATCATGTTTATGCTCTGACGAAGTACCGAATGTAGTTACATTTGGAACTGTCTGGCATATCTGTGCAGCGGCAAAACCTACACCACCTTAGAGTAAAGAAATACAATATATTTATTAACCAAGGATACATTGTCATATATTATTATTATTATACTGACACTCGTAAATTATTGAACAATATTTTATCATCAAGTTTTTTATTTAAAAATAAGTGTGAGAAAGAAATTATTCCCAGAAATGTGTGAAGACAGTGTGTGATTTGATTCATGTACGATTCGCATATGATTTGTGTATTATTCCTGTACAATTGATTTACCATTCATACTCCTATTAAAATAACTATAATTTATGCAAACGTTTATATATAGCAATTTGGGACAATGTACCGGTAACAATATATTTTTAGGAATTCTCTGTTTTGAAATCCACATGTTGGGCTCAAACCCCACCAAAACTAGTTTAAAACATGATAAATGTGTAAAAAATATATCAAAGTCTCAAACTATCCCCATGATATTTTTATTTATATTTATTGCCCTGTAGCTCTGGTTGTATAACCTTGATTTTCTTAGAAAATTTTACCATGATTCCTATTTTGACGCACAAATATTGTTACATTACCTCAGCATGTGCATGACTTTTAATTGAAGTTCAAAAATGTCAATTGTATAATATGTAATGTATGTGAACTGTACATGAATCAAACCTACGTCCTCTTCACATTCAAAACCAAAATAAAAAAATTGCTGCAAAATTTGCCAGTGTCTATAACGACAACATTCCGTATCGGAAATAAACAAGAAAAATTTATCCTGCACATTATGTGCAAGGTTAGACAATAGCCTTTATGCATGACCTCTAAAAAGGTGAACATCCTGGTATTTTCGGGGTGCAATTTTACTATCAATAAGAATATCTCAATTATTGTTCCCAAAAATGCAGGCAGTTCTGTTGGAATTGCAATCTGATTAAAATAAGATCCCATTTCCAGTTTTATTTTTCAGCTTTCATTTTTTTAAATATTTATTTTTATATTTTACTTTATTTTATTTGATTTTATTATTTATTTGCTGGCATTTTTTTTACAAGTTTTGTTAATCTCGAAATCTCACAAGGTATGTGGGATAGTTAAAGTAATACAAACTAAAATGTATGTAATACATGTAGTAATATAAAAAATAATGAAATAATACAAATTTATAGTAAAAATAAAATAAAATATATAAAATTTAATTAAATTCATGCTGTACAATACATCATATTTCAATTAAATTGTTGCAAGTTTAGAAATAATACACCTTGAACTTTCCAGGATGCATAACCTTTCATGGTCGTGCATAAGACACATTTTACCTGCTGCCATGTGAATAAGCACACTTCTATTGGGTCGTAAATTGGCTAAATCAAAAAGCATAAAATAAGCTGTCAGATAATTGACAGGTATTGCAGCGGCTTCTTCGAAACTCATCTCATCAGGAAATTCAAAACACTGATCAACTGGTAATGTAACATATTCAGACCACAATCCAGATTTGCTCATGCAAATAACACGTGCACCAACCTAGAAAAATAAATTAATGTAGTAAGGGGTGTGGCAGTAGATTTAGGAGAGAGGGGAAACCCTTTAAAAAAAAAAAAGTGTTACAGGGAAATTAATATTTCTGAACACACGCTTAATGAAGAAAACCAACAACAAAATTTACAACAAAATCATCCTAAAATAAAAAATAAAATAAAAAAATTGCTCTGTATTTCTAATGATTAACTGTATAATGTAAAAGTGTGTATATATTTTCCAATTGAATAATTATTTGAAAAATGGTCATATACAATTGGGACTTCTGACAATTCATTCTAGCGGTTTTTTTTTTGGTTTTTTTTGTTGGTTTTTTTGTTTTTTTTTGAGAAAAAAATAATGCTAGTGTCTTACCTTTGGACCCGTAACACCAAGGCCCAGCTTCACAACTACCCCCGAGCATTCATAGCCGAGCACTGCTGGCAATGTTGGACGAGGAAAATAAAGTCCCTGTCGCGCTGAAATTTCCGCGAAATTCAGTCCACATGCTTTAACTTCAACTAGTATTTCGCCCTCTTCTGGCACTGGCACCGACTTTTGCCATGTCTGGAGTTTATCATAACCTCCAAACCCTACCAGGACAATTGTTTTGGAAAGTTTGTCCAAATTCTCTTGTGCCGCTTCGGATGCGCGTTTCTCATCCATTCTTTAGTCAGGTGACTAAATTAAACTTTGAACTCAGTCATAGTTCATCGACCTTGCAGTACGCTATCAGACCAGACAACTCCACAAACACAAGAATATCGTTGGAAATTGGTATCTAAATGGGTACTTCGAAAATTTTCTGCGGTTTGAATTTAAATAAAATTCGTACAATAAACATAAACTAAGGTAAAAAACACGTTTTTTTTGTTTTTGTTTTTTTAACAAGCTAAATTAGGATATTACATCATGCAGCAGCCGAAATGGCTTCGGTAGGCGTCAGAATGGAACAGAGCATTATGCAAATATAAAATAACGTCACCTGATTGGTCAACTGGATGCAGAGCTTCCCTTCTGATCTCACAAGCGCAAGGCATTACAGGTTGATCCTTTGAACGAACAGAAGCTATATTCATGTTTTGCGCAGTATCTATGTGAAATAACCCCAAAACTGGTGTGAAATTACTACACAGCCAAGTATATACCACAGAAAAGCAAAATGTCTCACCGTCGATCAGTTATCATCGAACAAACGGGTTGTAAAATTCTCCTTGTGGGCGACAGTCGATGTGGCAAGTCGTCGCTGCTAAAAGTGTTCGTCAAAGAAAGCTTTACTGAGGTACGTAGATGGTTCATTTTCTGGAAATCTGTGTTCACTGTTTTTACATCGGGTATTACTGTGTGCTACTGATACATACTCGTCGAAAAGTTAATATCGGTCTGTGATTTGTGTGGTGCGAACTGGCTACGTTGGTTTATCTCGTTCTTTGATCGATTCTACCGAGATCCATTGTTTACTCGCTAGCAGAAACCATATCGATATAGCCCGCATCGTGGAGAACGTATTGCCGGCAAACTAGTATCAGACGATTGTATTGTATTCATGTGGTTCGTGAATGAGAGTACTGTATGTTAACACGATTTATAATTATATATATTTTTTATATATTGTTAGGTGTATGTTCCAACTATCTTTGATAATTCAACTGCCTCCTTTGAAGTGGAAAAATATCGAATTGATTTGAGTCTTTGGGATACTTCAGGTAAGATTTATTATAACAGTACTGAGCCTAAGTTTGTAAACATATTCCGGATATCGATTGCTCGCCCGGAAAGCCAAAGGTCTAGTGACAATTCGTCGTCACCAGCCCGCCTATTATCGGATGTTTGGATACGCCACCTCGTGTTATTCAAAAACATTGAGGCGTGTATCAATATACGGTGTCGAGTTGCTGTTAAAATTGATGTGTAACAGTGTATGTTGTTTCCACGGTATCCCGGAATAAGCTACCTGATATCCGAATCGCGACGTGTGGCGGACGTGATGAAATGTTTTAAGCGTTTATTTCATCGCCCACTAACATCAACATACTGATACTTTTGGAAAAATAAGCCCCTAAAATGAAGCCACTGTGCGTTACGAATGTTGTGTAATGCGATGTAGAGGTAGTTCCGTAAATATTTCTCTTGTGACCAACTTTTATAATTAGTTTTGTTTGTAGCGAGCCAGGAACCCACAGGAACAATAACACATCTGGAACTGCATAGTTCTACCATGGAGGTAAAAAGAGAAGGAGTCACGGCCATTATAATCCTTCTAAACTTCTTTTGTTTTAGACAAGTTTAATCCTATAATTCCCTTTGTCTTATCATCCTTTCACCCCAGAATCGTCGCCGACGCGTCATTTACTCTCAAGCGTTGCTGCATACAGTACGCACTCCAAGGTCTTGTTTTACGGTGTCACAGTAAAAGCCAAATGACATAAAGCATGCGCAGATCTTTTATACGTGGAGGAATCGTGTTTGTGAGAACGGGAAAGTTGGAATTTTGAAAATCAGAGAATTTCTTGTTAAGTTTATGTAATTTTTCGTTTTTCAGCACATTTTCCGTTGTAGTTTTGAATCAGCAATATTGTAATGTTTCGAAACCTTGCTAGTACTGTTTTTTAGTCCACAATAAAGTTCGTTTAATGATCTTTGCAATGGTGCATGGCATGGACCGCACCGCGTTGTACCGGAGACTGAATTTTTAGGTTCAAAATGACGCTTTTTGAGGTTTATATCCCTTGTATATCCTACTTCCTACGGCAGTGCGTCAACAAGAACTTCGCTGCATTTTTTTGTTATCGAGCAATCGTTTAGTTCACAGCATATCGAAAACAATTTTTCGTCTGTAATATGCTCTTCGATTTCGTTTACGTCTTCTGAATTGAAGGACGTAGCAGTTTCAGCATCGTAGTCAAACTCGTGCGCGTTATCGATCGTCGCAATATTTGTTTATAAGAATTTGACAGATTTGTGACGAAAATCACCGAGTGCCGCCGAAGGCGTCCGTAGTATGCTAATTCACGGTAATCCTCACTGCGCTTAGAGGAAACTGTCCTCCTTGATCCGTTCGGCAAATAAACTCCCTGAAATATGTACAAACAGCGGCGACCATCCTGGTATCTTTGATCTAAGCTTGGCTGTGACTCCTTCTCTTTTTACCTCCATGGTTCTACGAACTTCTACTAGGATGTATCATCATGATAAAGGGAATAAAAATCTATTCCCCTCTTCGATTCCTTTCGGTATCAGCTAAACAAAATAAATGTATGCACACCCCTAGGTCTACAGTTCAACATTGATGGACAAAAAAACAACAAAAAACACATCTGAAATATGGAGTACATGCAAATAAGAATGAAGTATGTCAATACATTTATAATCACCCTGGCTGAAACGGTTTAAACAACATTGGGCTAGAGCACAAACAACATGAAATTTATAGTCTTTCCATACAAGTAGTAGTTACCGGTATATCATCACTCAAATTGGACAGACTAGATGTCAAATGCCTCTTCCATGCTTGAGTGACCAGATATCGAAGTAAACAACATATTTCATAGATGTTATTTAGTTAGAAGCTTTTATAACTTTTGCTACATAAACACGGTTGTGTGCAGTGTTCTCCCCAGAAAAATGTTTCAGAGTGGCGGCTAATTTGCATATAATTTACATATCATTAGCATTTGTCTGAAGATAAAGAAAACAATAATGACAGGCTTGCATGGATGAAAATGTGTCTTTATTTTTTAACAAATTTATGTAGAAGATTAAATGAATCTGCTGCTGTGTGATTTCTATGTAATGTTGATTCTTCGGACTTTCATGGAAGCCCAGTGATCTGCAGCTTTTGAGAACGCCATGATTGTCTTTGCTTCCCACTTCTATTAAATGACATGGCCTTCTTGTGCATCTCCGAGTGTGCGTGTTTATCGATAGCATATTTCGTAATAGTTATACATGGCATAGAATTCCATACCAAAGAACTATTTCTGGATGTTTTTAAGTTGAATTTTCCACATATGTGTCACAGCATTCCTAAAAGATAAGAAATAGGAGCGAATCAATACTTGTATTTAAAAAATATCGTTACGATCAACACGAAAATAAACAAATTGCCGCCATTTTGAAAAGTCGCTAAACTTAAAAATTGCCACGATAAACTTTACCCAACTATTTCAAAACACAATACTAGTATTAGTTACTTTGATAAATCGTAGCCAACAATTTTTGAACTTCCAGAAAGAAGTCGTTTCCAAAAAAATGTTTCGACGATCGGCAAAAAATGAAGCCATACAAAAATTTACTAAACTAGGTCAAAACTCGCTTCCAAGTAAAACGCTACAAATAAATACTTTTTTTACCTTTGCCATCGGATGTTTCTCTCAGCCACGTATATTTTGTTGTCCATTGTGCATCAAATCTAGAGTTTATTTTTTTGCACTTTTCGTTGTAACATCATCTTGGACACGTTTAGTACCACTGCCGACAGGGGTACCGGTGACCGCGTTGCTGGTGGGTTTATCGCTCGCAACCAGGGGCCCAGCAGGGCGTTCTACGCGGAACCACAACGTAATATTTCTGCTGTTTGACATCGTTGCTTCTTCCAGCCAAATATGCTACTGAGAAAATACTCGCTATTACCCCCAATTAAATAGGGCGAAAGTGTTTATTGTCGAAGTACGAAGCTGTATTAGTCCATTGTCTTTGCGTAATCACTGACATGTTTCCATTCACACCTGATTTGGCTCACAGTACCGGACGCTGATGACGCTGACTAACAGATTCGCACGTGTATTAACAAGCTAAAAGAAAGAGTAACAGGAAATGCCACAGAGTAGCGGGCAATCTCTCAGAGTAGCGGCATAAATAATGGAGTAGCGGCCCCGCTACGCTAAAACGCTTTGGGGAGAACACTGGTGTGCTAAATGTTTTTTAATAACCATTTTCATAGTTTTGGGATATTTAATTAAAGCTTGAAATTGGTATGTTTAACACATAAAATTTGATAAAAGGACCCTTGATTCAGGCATGGATGTACTAAGAATGTACACTCTTAGTACATCCATGATTCAGGGGAGTAATTGGGAATTTGAGTCAAAGATGTTGGCTAGGTGGGAAAAGTGAAGGGAAGTGAAGCGAGGAGGGGTGGGGGGTAGTGTAACTTTCAACAAATATTTGGTTAAGGTAGCATTGTTGCGTTTCATTAGTTGCTTGACATCTAACCCTCCACAGGGGAAACAGTTCACAAGTACAATACAAAAGTCTGCTCCTAAGATCATGGTTCCCATTGTGAAATTTTCCAACCTAGGTCAAGGGCAAAGACTACACTCAAGTAAATAGAGTTGATTAGATTATTTGTGCATTGTTTGTGTTGTGACTATTAAATCCGTAATCATGCTCCTTTTCATGGTTGTGTGAATTGTCTTCTTGTTATTTTGCTAACTGATGACCCCATGGTGGGTGTTAACACTTTCCTGGGGCTAATTGTTGACGAATTCGCATGTCATTCTCTGCAAAACAAAAAAAGACATGACATAACTCTTCCAACGCAAGGTAATTTTCCTCTTATGTTCACCACACCAAGGGTTTAGATCCAAACCGCTTAACACTAGCACTCTGTTGTGAGATATGTGTATAGAATTAAATTCCATTGTGACTGGCCAGTGAATTGTCTGAAGTATTGTGTAAAATTATTTAGTCATCAACAATAGACTGCATATTGATTGAATAGCATCCTATAAAGATAGGCAGACGGACGGAAGTCCTACCAGATTGTTCACCTTACTGCATTCCTTAGAAACTTGACATGAGTCAATTCTATTGATATAGCTTGTCTCATTTCTGCTATGTTCATAATGATGAACTTTATAAAATAAAAAATAAACTTGTGCTAAATAGAATTGAGAAAGTTGAGTTAGTATAGTTTTCCAGGCAGTGTATCATTAGGAAGTCATTGTTGTTTCAGACTTATGGTGCAAATGATCAAATCACGTCTGTATGAGATGGCCACGTTCACACTAACCATAGACTTTTTAGGGTCTATGCACTAACATAGAAATTAACGCCCTAAGTTTTCCTGGTGTGTATAGGATGGACTTGAAATATTAAATTTGACATGAATTTGTTTACAGAATATAACAAGCTTGTTTGATTTCCCTCTCTTTAATCATAACACATGCAGCTATTTTTTATAATTATACCTTTGAAAAATTATCCGCTAATGTGATTCATCACATTACGTGGACTGTAAATGTGGTGAGGTCAGCTGTGGACGTGTAAATGCTCTGGGGACAAGTAAAAGATTACAATCATGACATGTTACTAATTTACTAAGAAACAACTGATATGTGAAGCCCACACCCAGATTAAATGACTGTATGATTCATTGTATGACTGGGGTGTATGACTCCCAGATTGCTTACATCAAGTAGCTGTGTAAGTAAAGTTGGGTGATATACCCCAGTACACAAATTGTGGTCATAAATAATTTGTGTTGATGTGTTTATACAGTATGTTTACGAAGCCAGCAAGATGACACACTAACCAGAACCTCGGTAAATCCTATAATTGCTGTTACTCCTACTCGCCTCCCTCCCTACCTTCCTTCCTTCCTGACAGTTCAAATTTCAAGGGATTCGCATACTATGAAATTAATTTGAAAGTTCCTCTGGTGCTTGTTACTGTTTGGGAAATCCTATAATGGCTTTTACTCTGTTGTCTATGGTACCGTCCTCCCTTCCTGGCAGATTTCAAAGTTTAAAAGATTTGCATACTATGAAATTAATTTTAAACTTCCTCTGTCTGGTACTTACTACATGTACTACTATTTGGGAAATCATATGACGAGTCTGTTTTTTTGTTCTACCTACCTCCTGAGTTCAAATTTCAAAAGATTTGCTAAGAAATAAATTTGTGAATTTCTTCTGATATGAAGTATGTGTTACAAGTACGTGGACCTTTCACCCTATCCGTCCGTACAGATAAGATAAAACTTTATTACAGCTGAATAGAAAAAAAAACACTTTTCTATTTCAGTGGGAAAATGTAAAAAAGTAATAAAGTTCTAAAAGAGAGATTCAGTTTTCTGGCTATTTTTCGTCTCTAATAGAAAATGCTGTTTTAATGGAAGTAATGACTTTGTCTACAATTTTACATCCATGACGTAAATAAATTCAAATTCTCTATTTTCTGGTTCCAGTATAGGCACTTTCTTTGTTCAGTGCAAAGTTTTGGCCTCTGATGTCTGCTTTGTTCAATTTGTATTCTATGTACTTGAACCCTCCTACAAGAACTGTTTACATTAATCAAGGGATAATATTTATTGCTTGCCAGCCAGTAACCAAGAATTATAATAACATCATGGAAAAACAGAACTATAAAACTCACAACTGTGAAAAAACAAGCATTCGCTGAATAAACTATTCAAAACAACATGGCCATTAAAACAAGTCAACAGCTGTGTTCGATCACGAATGAAAAATAGAATTGATTGTTGGCTATCGGAAGGCTTTGCTTTTGCCTATCAGAAGGCTTTGCTTTTCAGTAATTGCACACTGACATAGAATTAGTACGTACTCTATTTTATTTATCGTATCCCAGACTACGATGGCATTAAAACTACGATCTGTGATTCATCAGTCCTTGTTTTCAAATTACTAGTTTGTCCTTTAGGTCATTGAACTTTCCTTTTGATGCATGTAATTATGGTATAGTCCATTAGTAATACATCGATAAATAAAATATATATTTTTTGCATTTAATTTTTCAATTCGTCTAATTTCTGTTTTCTTTCTAGGGTGTACGGAGTATGATAATGTACGGCCGTTGTCATATACCGAAACCGATTGTGTTGTAGTCTGTTACGATATTAGTGTGCCAGAATCGTTAGATAATGTCGTCGATAAGGTGAGTAAAAGAATCAGTATTTTGAAAAGTAGTTTAATTTTGGTGTTTTTCCCAATGTATGCATACTGTTTGTTATGACTTCAATAGAGCCGCACTCTGCTCTTCAGGGAATACATCCAATATGATTTGATGCAATTACTGTAATGTCAGTGTCAGGGAACAAGGCATTTTTTTCCTACCACAGAGTTTATGCCTATATTCCCATGTACCGGTAATGGCTTGTAACTGAAAAATAAAAATTTGTTCTCGTATTTCCAAATGCTTTGCCTTATTACTGTGCATCTTTGCATAATAATTAATTCAACAAGTGGTTGCGAAAGTTGGCATTATATTGGGTAAAAAATATAAGTTTTGAATTTTACTGTGTTGGTTGTGGTTATATGATGGTACGTTTCTTCTACCTGTACAGAATCTACCGGTATGTTGCGTTTGCTGTGGCATGAGCCAATAGATTGAAATTCCACAAATTCCTCGAGTCCACAAAGAATTGACACTGAAAATAGAGGCATTGTAATCCAATTTTGTTGTGATACAATAACCGTTGACTATGTGGATTTGTATCAGTATTATGTTTGAACTTGTAAATATAAGTTTATGTGGTCAGGGGATTTGTAAGGTATTCAAGGTTGTGGTCAGTGAAAATATTAAGTAGTCTTTACATTTCATTGAAAAACAAGTTTGTTGACTAGACCCTGGGATCAATTGAGTTTTGTTTCTAATGTTGATTGAACTGTGCCTAATCCTATTGTATGTTGGGCTTACTGGTAGTTGTGTTTATTTTATACATGCAAACTTCTTGTGTCAAGGGATTGATGGTATCTCTGTAGAGTTTCTGATTGTTAGATAAATCACCTTAGAAACCAGTATCCACCAATATGTACGAGTAACTTCCTAAATACACCACCCATTATATCATGATTTTTGATGCCACTCGAATATTTTGTTGTACCGTGTCAGTGACTTTTACTCAGCATGAAAAACAAGCATGTCTGAAGAATTTTCATCCTGTTTATCACTGGTATTCTACTAATCTTTGAAAGCCCTGCAGAGTTTCCGTGGTTGTTCACTTGTAAGGAATTGTTGCCTAAAGAAAACAACATGGCCCTGGATGTATTGTGAACTGACATATGACCTATGTATGCCAGGATGTCTACTCAGTGGTGACTTTCCTGTTATCACTTCTTAGTTTATTCCTCTTGAGTTTGCATACTTGTACAAGTTTTTTTTTTGAAGGGGGACACCTAATTGCCGATCGGGTGCCTCTCAGTAGTTCTGATCTCAAATTCGTAAGTCTGAAACCTCAAATTGCAAAATGTTTAAAAATACAATTAAATTTAAAATCGTGCTTATAAACAAACAGCATTTTTTTTTCTATGACGATTTATGATGTAGTTTTTTAATCTATGAAAATCAATAATCAAGTGAACCTGTTTTGCATGAATTCAATGTGTTTAAATACTCTTAATGCATTCATTTTTTGCTTTTCAATTTCAAGTAAAATCAGCTAAATTAAACCAGGTGAACAAAGTAATAATATAATTCATTGTTTCCCTGCCAAATTTGTGAATAAGCTCAAGACATCAAAATAGTGAAGTTAAAAATGGAAAATAACTGATTTTACGGAAGGGCAGCTATACCATACGTAATGTAATTCACACAAGTCCAATACAAGGGCATTGATGCACCACTAAAGGCCACCGTTTATACAATTTCCAATATAAAGGACTTCATTTAACCAGAACTCTTTTGTTAAGTCGCTATAGACTTTATAATGAAATGGCTCCTGATGGGTGTGGCTTCATTTCTTTGTCATTTCCCCTTTCATTGTAGCGTTCTAGTTGCGATTACACAGTACTGTAAGGTGAATGTATGGCCGCTTTAATTATGGTCTGATTATGCTCCATTTAGTTACAGTCTAGACTTTACACTCGCTTGAAAACCAAACTGTCAGTTATCTGGTTTGAATAAACTATGTCTTTGTATCCCAGAATGTTGTTGGCAATGGTGGTGTTACAGTAAACATAGTATTTCAAGTAGTGTATAATTGTGGATGTTCAAACTCGCCCAGGTTGAATTGATTCACTTTCCATGTACAGCATACTTTGGTATAAATAATATAGGGTTAGGGTAGTAAGCATCAACTAGCTAGTTCACTGGTCCCTTTGTTGCATTGTAAGCCATCTTGGCTTGTTTTTGTTATGGAAATAATGCTTGATGTCTTTGTTTTTTTTTCATTCATCTTTCAAGAGTAATTGAGAGTATTTTCTCTCATTACCATGATTACCATGATGATGGCCTTCAGTTAATCAGTGAAGCGAATGTGGTAGAGTAATGGATGTTGCACCAGACTAATGTTTGGTCGATCCTGGTTATAATTCTACCTTCTAATTCTTAAATGTTCGACCCCCTACCCTAGCTGAGTGTGCCACACTGGATGGAAAGTATTAGTGTTCGGCCAGGCCTGGTTGATGCCAGTATACTGTAGAATACTTTATTTTCGCTTGGAATTTATTTTCGCTATTTTCGCTGGACGAATGATTTTTTCCCTATATTTCACATTAAACTCATCAAAAATCAGTGAAAATAAATTCCATAAAAAACGGCCAAAAAGCCTTTTCAGCGAAAATAAAGTATTACACAGTAGTGCATTAAATTGTTGTTTGATAGAGGTGAATGCAAAACCCTGTCTAACATGAATATGGCTTCTGTGGCACTGTGTCAGCACTCACACTCATAATTCAAAGAAGTTGGGTGACATTCAATGCCCAAAACTGTTGCCTGGCACTTAGAAGCAAATTAAGAAAGAAAACATTTTTGAAGCCACAAACTAAATATTTTTAGAGAAGCTGAGATCGAGAATTGTCAGTGTCAGTTTGCAACAAACTATGTATTTTAAAGGTGTTTTATATGGTTGCATAGAACACCTATCCAACATGATCAAGTTAGCTTAAAACTCCTGAAACTTATTAGCAATAAAGCACAATTTGTTGTGTAATTAATAATGTGGGAATTAGTCTTTTTATAGTCAGATAAGATTTGATTGATGTGAATGTAGGATTCAACACCTGTGTTGATATGTGAGGTACATGTTAATAGACTGACATCATGACTGTGTATTACATACAATGTGTACGGCATGTATACAAAACATTGTTCACTGGATGGTGTTGTCAAACTTTAAATCAAGTCATCATGTCTGTTATGGGATCCATGCAGTGTCTTTAATTTAGCATACTAAAAAAAAAAAAATCGGCTGTTTGGCGTTATAAAACTATATCTGCTTTATAAAGACTTAAATTTTTCTTTTTCTTCTCCAGTGGTTTCCAGAAGTGCGACGATGTGGTTCTGCCGGAATTCCCATCATCTTAGTCGGTTGCAAAATGGATTTACGGAATGACATACATACTATTACAGAATTGGCCCAGAAAAGACAGATAACACTCACACATGAAAAAGTGAGTTTTACATTTCATATTACTTTTTAGTCCCTGTTCGGACGCAGTCCGAAAACGGGGACTTATGTTTTGACCTCTGTGTGTGAGTGAGTGCGTGCGTGTGTGCGTGCGTCCGGACCTGTATCTTAGAAATGCCTGGTCCAATCACAATCAAACTTCACACATACATCATACATGATAGTATACATATGCACGTCAATTTGTTTCACGATCTGATTCAAGATGGCCGAATGGCGGCCATTTTTGTGCTAAAAATCATCAAAAACAAGCATTTCTCAGCTGTTAACAGATGGATTTTGTTCAAACTTGGTATATACATTAGACGTTATAGGACCTTGATGCACATCATTTTGTTTTACGATCTGATTCAAGATGGCCGAATGGTGGCCATTTTTGTGCTAAAAAATCATCAAAAACAAGCATTTCTCGGCTGTTTACAGATGGATTTTGTTCAAACTTGGTATATACATTAGACATTATGAGACCTTGATGCAAATAATTTTGTTTTTTAGATAAGATTCAAAATGGCCGACTGGGCCATTTTGTTTTAATGAATGTGGTTCTCGTGCCATATTCTGACTTGCTTTCACTGATTATGTTCAAATTTTAAATATTCATTATACATCATGTCATAGATAACCATATATATTGGTTTGACGATCCTATTCAAAATGGACAAATGGTGGCCATTTTTGTGCTAAAAAATCATCAAATATCAGGCATATATATATGGATTTCGTTCAAACTTGGTACATATGTTAGACATTACAGGTTCCTGATGCACATCATTTATTTTTCAGATCGGATTCGAATGGCTGTCTGGTAGCCATTTTGTTTTAATGATTGGGCTTCTAGAGCCACATCTCTTAAATGCTTTGACTGATTATATTCAAATTTTATATATTATAGTTATACATCATGTTATATATATATACATGTATTTAAAATGGCTGATTTTGAATGCTGTTCCAGAGCAATATCCCTCAATATGAACAAGTACTTTTTTGACGATCAGATACAAATTTCAATCATTTTAATGTTAAAAAATCATATTCCTGACATGGTTATATTCTAGCTATATTACTATAAACAAAACTATATATATTAAATTTGATAACTAACGGGGACTGTGCCATGCATGGCTTGTTTTTATAATGAATTTCAGCAGTCACTCACTGGTATAACAAAATGACTGTCATCTCGTACATTCTGTCTGTTAATTAATCTTTACACGTACACCCTTTAAAGTGTACAAGATCAGGTAGTTAAGCATCTTATTTGATGACCAGTTTTATCGACTGTGTGGGTGGCAAATGAATGCATGCAGTGTCCTGCCTGTAATTTAACTATCGAATGTGTACTGTACTGATAATAGACCGATTGTTCTCATAACGTAAAAAAATAAACTGGCATAACATGGGTTGATAGATGGTTGCGTTATGTTTTTAGGGGAGAGCATGTTCCAACTTTACATCAATGAATGTATGGTTGAACTGTATTTCTTTTTTGTTTTACAGGGTATACAAGTTGCCAAACAGATTGGTGCTGCTGCGTTTGTGGAATGTTCTGCCAAAAACTCCAGAAGCAGTGTCAATGAACTTTTTGAAATAGCCACTTTATCGTCGTTGGGAAAACTCAGCCTTCATAAGTCACTTAAGGGATTACCCTCACACACCAGATCACTGTCATTCAGAAGGAAAAAGAGCACTGGAGACCTGACACACCATAAGCTGAGAGTGAAAAGCACAGTGTTACAAACATCAACAGACTCGTCTAAGTTAAACAAAAGCTGCGTTGTTATGTGAACTTGCAATTAGAACAGAAAATGCAAAACTTAATATGACGTAAAATTTTTATTTTCATGCCATGTGTCAGTATTTACAGTACTTCATGATAAAAAGTACATAGCTTTATGTTAATGTATCTTAACTGAGCCACCCCAGTCAGTCTTTTTTAAAAAATATCCCTGTGAGGACACAGCATGTTTTGACTGATTCTGATTCATACGCAATTCATTGTCCCATTGCTTCCGTTGTGAGAGCAGAGCCTGACCTTCAGTGTGGGACAGTGCCTTTGCAATTTACCGAACATTGACGTCAATCTGTTGACTTATCATTAAATCGCCCCCCCACTTCCATGAAATCACAATGTAGAAGGAATCGACCCAGACCTTACTCAAAAATCAGTATTTTTTTGATGAACGCCTTGAAATGACTGGGGGCTCTATAGATTTTTTCAACTCCTTGAAGTAAAAAAAAAACTTAAGTGTGTACGTGAATGGTTGATACTAAACTTAATTTATTGTGAGCAAGTGAAGTATGTTGTGAAAAAGAAGTGATCATTATACGAGTTGCAATTTTAAATCATTTTACTAAAAAGTACAGAGATGCAAGTTTATATAGTTACTGTTTATTATGACTTTGAATTACAAGTTTTCACATGTAGTAAAAGCTTCTAGGGACTTCCATCACTAATACAGGCTTTGTGAGTGCCTTCTGTGGTAATGGCTAAAGTTATTCTGTATTTTCAGTCAAAGAGAAGTGAATGTTTGCACCAGTGCAAGATAAACAGTTATTTTCCAGCAATAATAAAGTGAAGGGAAAAAGGACTAACAATTATTTTTTAAGGTGGTGGGAGCAAGAATCTACATGGTTTCCTATGATAATCTGTATTCTTGTAAAGACATTGTAGACCACAAGTGTATAATTGATAAACAATGGAGTTTAATTACGGTACTGTAACCACAAAGAGATGGAATTCTCCTGGTACAACACTGAATTCTAGCCATAATTTCCACCAACCAGTAATAATAATGGTTTGATCCAACACACTGTCAGTAGTTTAGAAATGAGCAATGCTCATTTAAAGCTTGGTTTAACCATTGTTTTTTATTCGTACAAGACAACTGTAGAAATATTACAGTTGCAGTACGGAAAAGGTGCTTGCTTTATAAAACTTATTGAAAACTAAATTAGAGCACAGTATATTGGTACAGAGAGGAATTTATGATGTACTTTGTGAATGTTTGTAAATTTTTAATGTCAAAGATATTAAAGAGTAAGAAACTTACTTAATTGTATCATTGTGTATTGATGTTTCACAACAGTTCAGAAATGCTTTCTGGTGGAAAGTGCAGTTAAAGTGCATTTATACAAGACAGAATTTGAAAAATCCGGTTTGTCTTGTAAGTAGCTTCACTACAAATGTGTTAACCCTACATTCTTCCTTCACGATTGATATGGAAAGACATTTCTTATAATAACATTATGGCCCAGTAAGACAATCTATGAAAATAAACATTGTTTTTTTTTAAAAAAAGACAATATGAATAAGTATTAATTAAATAATGCAACCACTAGTGCACATGCTTTTCAAATTTAATACCAGCACATAAAGTGTAGGTACTACCAATACAAGGTTTTTATTTTCCAAGTTTTACTCTGTTCACAGCCCCACAGATTACATCTTCAATTTTTGTACATCACAGTAAACACAACCTTTGACCAGTATTGTTCACAGATTTCTATCAAATTCGTCGTCTGTATTCTTCTCAAGTAATGCTGTTCCATTAATTATCGGCCTGTCAATGAACTCAATTTGACAATCTCCAGCCAGTATCCAGTTTCCATAGGAACCAGTACAGGGTGCTTTTTCCAATTCAAATAACACAACAGTGTTGTCTCCAGTTTGCAGTATATTAGCGGGTACATAGAGTGTCACCTGAGGTCCTACAACAGGCCAGTAACGACCAAGGTTGAATCCATTTATGTATACCTGGCCCTGTAAATACAGTTGAGTCATTTGTTATCCAAAATTATTACCATGTCTGTCTCGAATTGGCAACAATTTCCATGGTTATGAACAATAACTTGCTTTGAACCCCTCAAAAAATGATTGGATTCTGGTCAGTGTTCATGTCAGTTGAATTTTTTTTTTTTTTTTTTCTGCCAAAATATTGTGAAAATACGCCCCACACCTTTTTTGTTTTAACATTTCATAACCAAAAACAAATTTTTTTTTACCATTATGTAAGATTAAAATGACAATAGTTGAATGAAACCAACAATTCATCGCATGAAACAACTTCAAACCACTCGCACTGCAACATATGATTATTCATGGTTATTATTCCTTTGAGTGACCATGCCTTCTTTTATACATATCTTGTGGTATTCAAATCACAATTATTAGTAACCAACAGAAGACGTTTAAAAGTATCGTTTACATACTGTAAGGGCAGCTCTGCTCACAGTTAAGTAACTCAATTTTATCTCAAAGTATATTTTTACTGCTATATGAAGTGCTTTAAACTTGGAATTCTGTACAATGCAACTTAATCCTAAATGAACAAATTGCGTAACATGCCTGGCCAAAATATTTCCTCTGAATATTCATGTTTTAAGTCACATACATGTATGCATA